GGTGAATTTAGAATGATACATGCGAACCAGAGTATCCCACAAATTAACAAAATATGGTCAAAACATTTACCACTTGACACAGACTGTTGTTATTCTAACTCTTGATGAGTAGTCAATCTGTCACTATCTTGGTTGTATTCATATAAAATATTAAAAAATATTGAAAGAATATATTTATAATATCATATAATATTATAAATTTATATATATATATATTTAGTATTTTGACATGAGATGAGTTTAAAACCTATCCAGAGGAAGTGGAGTATACCTATTCAATGACTAATGTCATTGGACCTTTAAAACAGAACAGATGCTCTAAATTTATATTTTTAAATAAAATAATAATGTAAAAATATATTTATACAAAATATCAACAAAAAAAGTCAAAGTTGTTTTAAACTCTTAAAAAAAATACTCCATAATAAAATTATGAATCCAATCACTCATTATTACGTAGTACATCAAATTGTGTCCTTCCTAGAAATAGATGGTTAAGATAAAAATGATGAATCTAATCATTCATCATTAGGTACATTAATTCACCCACAAACACACCAAGAACAAATAAAAACCATGTATTTTTCTAAGTTGAAAAAGAGATTAAAAATTTGTTTCTTCTAAAGTTAGATCAGCCACATAGAAAAGAAACAATGTATAGCCCACGGCAGCCTAGACACACAAAAAAAAAAAAAAAACAAAGGCACCTAATCTTCCGAAAATAAGACATTACCCAATATAATATTGCCAAATAATCAGTTGAAACTCACTATTGGCCAGCTGTCACTTCAGGCCACGTCACTTTCTTCGTAACTTCATTTTTCAGGAGGTACTTTTGATCACAGTGGATGCTGCTAGGAAACTTCCTTAGTCACTTTCATTCCTTCTCAAGTTTTATTAAAAATGTTCAATAATTTATTGATTTACGTAAAAAAAAATTTATTTTCTGAAATAAAATTTTAAATTTGATGTCAATGGGTTTGTTGATTAAAAAAAAATGATTTTTT